AAATGCCAAATTCTCAGAAAGTCTTGGTTGGAGGTATCTTCCTCTTAGGAAGTTTGTATGTATACCTACATTTGCCTTCCGTCTCAGTTCATACTAACATTATCAAAGTGTCATCGTAACAGGTGTTGTACGAGTCGTTCTTGGATATGCTCCCGGTAGTCAAAATGTCGATTTTCCCCGAGCAGAACTTTGGTCGGCAGTTCATGTTGGAATGGCAATCGTGTGCGCTTGTCTCCCAAACTTTCGTCCACTCTTGAATCGCATCACTGCATCAGCTCGTCGTCTATATGGATCTGCTATGACGAGTGATAGGGATCATAACGCAAGTGGTTCCAGTGGAAGTCGAAGTGGGACATCAAAAAATAAAACTGCAGTAGAATTGATGACATTGAGTCATATTCGACGTCGAGGACAGAATGAGTTGGAGGATAGAAATGCAGATACAAGAGGGTTGACTAGGAATGAGAGTGGAGACTTCCAGTCACTTCATCATGCAGAATTGGCGGGAGGGGGAACAGATGAATCTAGACCCGGAGCATTAAATGATGGATGATGAGCCTGTTTTTGAAAGTACAAAAATGAAAATCGTATTTCTCTCATCACTCGATAAGATTGAATGTTTGTAAAAGCATGGAGAATGTTTGTAAAAGCATGGACACTGTTGATATCATGGAAAGTTGGATATTGAGAGAAGATCTACGAAAAGCAATACAAATAACATTCGAGTAAGGGACCCAGCTAAACATTGTTAGCGGATGTTTCTTGCCAAAAATGGTAATCTCGAATCCATCAAAATGGTTCAGGGTGGTTCAGGGCAGGGTAGCGCAGGGTTTAGGCTTGTTTCCCCTCACACGTGATCATGAACGGCCCGAAGTATATTTGGACGTCGACGTCCTCCAACTTTATTTGCAGGTATGATGAGGAATGATACTGCGCTGATATCTTTTGTTATTTCTAACAGCTTCTGATTTTCCGTATATCAAAGGTATATCCAAGTAGGAACCAGTCAGCCATTGATTAAACGGAGAGGTAGAGGCTACTCGCACCAAGTCTCTCACCAAGTCACTCACCAAGTCGCTCACCAATGTGTCTATCGATCAATGTTGGAGAGTGACCCGCTCATGACGAAACCCAAGAAAATTATGTGCATGTTGAGGGAAGATCCAAAGCCCTTCTAATTGAGTCGAGAGTACCGACAAAAATAATAGAGACTAAAGGGCACATGAATGGTGAACGTTGTTGAGGTGGACCAAACCAATAAGAAGTTTCCGGCTCTTGGACCATCTGTTCTCATACAAAAGCCACAAGTTCTACCCTCAGACTCTCTGTAGACTTCGGTAGATAAGTTTCAGATGACCACATCCGCTACCCCGTCTTTAAAATGCTCATAGCTTTATAACTTCAGCAGTTGACAAACCAATAAGATGTGTTTGATTGTGTGCTTGAGTGGTTCTGTGGTATCTGTTATTAAGAGGGTGTGGAGGCTTTTTCCGAACAAGTACCGATTTGATGAACGCCGTTATCATATTTAGCACAAGTCATTAACCGGTAGTCTGGAACAACTTGAGTTCCAGTATTCTGGTTGCCAATTATCTGTGCTGCCAGAACATATTTTGAGTTCTAGCTAGAGCTCGAAATGTTATTACCGACGTGGACATATTTTAACTTTCGGATCCTGTTCTGTTTCATTTGCTTGAATGTTGGATCTGCTTTTGATGGCTTAAATGTTTAGCAATTCGTTCATGTTTAGTATGTATTTATCGACAAGATATTCATGTACGTTCTTGGTTGAGCCTGCAGGTCTGGCTTGTTTCAAAGAAAACTTTCTTATTTGAGGGATGAATTGCCACGACACTTGAACTGTTCATTATCTTTATGTTCGAATTGTTTTTCTTTCAAAAATCTTACTCTGTGTAATATCTTCTCAATGATCTAACACTTCAGAACATCTCATGGTCCAGCAAACATGGCACCAACCACTATTATCACAGCTGGCAATAAACCAGTAGTAGTCTTCGCCCCAGGAAAGAGATATATTGCTGCGTGTACTTCTATTTTGATTGTTAATCTTGTTTGTGCACTCGATGCCACAACAATAGCAGTTGCTCTCCCAGTCAGTTATCTCTTTCAACCATTCTATTGTTTAAACCCCCTCTAACACTTGAATCTGAAAACAGACAATATCCGAAGCCCTCAATGGAAATGCAATTGAGGCTTTCTGGGCCGGTACCTCTTTCCTCCTCACTTCTACCATTTGGCAACCCGTATTCATAGCACTATCACATGTATTTGGACGCAGATCGTTACTCTTGTTCTCACTCTTCCTTTTTACAATCGGCTCCAGTCTGGGGGGAGCAGCACAAAGTATGCCTTCCTTGTTAGTAGGCCGTTGTCTGCAAGGAAGTGGTGTCGGTGGCATTCTTGCACTCACGGAAGCTTTAATAACGGATATGGTACCATTACGCCAAAGAGGAAATGCAATGGCACTTTTAGGAGTGGTATGGGCATTGGGTAGTGTCACTGGACCACTAATTGGTGGGACCTTGGCTGATAGAAATGCTTGGAGATGGATATTCTACCTCAATCTACCCATAATCGCAGTAGGCTTTGTAGGATGTGTTTGGTTCTTGAAATTGGAGAAAAAAGAAAGAACGATACAGGAGAAGTTATCTGAAATCGATTACATCGGATCAATTATCTTTGTTGGGTCACTAACCTCATTTCTTATCCCCTTGACTTGGGGTGGAGTGAGTTATTCATGGACAAGCTGGCATACTTTGGTTCCACTGCTGATAGGAGCTACGGGACTTATCATTTTCTGCATATATGAAGCAATTTTTGCAAAGAAACCCATCATACCAACTCGACTTTTCTGCAACTCTTCAACAACCATTGCTTACATTTGTACTTTCTTACATGGGATGATCCTCTGGTCAATCGTCTATTATGCCCCCTTCTACTTTATGTCTGTCCAAGGCTACACATCAATGATGGCAGGTGTGGCTGCCCTTCCGGAAACCCTTACTATTGTACCTACAGCGATGATCGTCGGAATTATCGCTGCAATAACAGGAAAATATCGTTGGAGTCTATGGCTCGGATGGGCTTTCACAGCTTTTGGTTGTGGTATGCTATATCTTCTTGATGTTGGAACGCCGGTTGTGGCGTGGGTTTTTTTGATGCTAGGAAGTGGTATTGGTATGGGACTTTTGTATCCAGCTATGAGTTTAGCTATTCAAGCTTCGGCTCCACAGGAGGATGCTGCTACTGCGGCAGGATTGTTCACGTTCTTTAGGGCGTTGGGTCAGACGGTTGGGGTGGCGATGTAAGTTATTGTCTTTTTCTTTCGTGTGGTTCGTATGTTCCTTGATGATTTTCAGCTTTTGGTTCTTGAATTATCGCCCAGTGGTTGATTTTCTGTTTTCTTCCGTATTTCGGTACCTCTTCCATGTCACCAGTGGCTGCGGGGTTGTCGTATTTGCTTTCTGTCACTCTTCAAGTATTGCCATTGGAGTTTATCTTGAAGAGCCTGCACACGTCACCATTCAACCCGACGTTACTTCTTCTCCATATGTCACATCTGCCGTTGTCGAAGGTTGAGTTTGGGCTTTTATAGATTTGGGAAGTTCTTCCTTCCATGGCAGCTCTTTGCTATTCTGCATGACAAGTAGTGACTCGAATTGGCTCTTAATCCGCATTCCATGTTTTCCCCAGCTCTCATCCGCTTCTACTTCACCTAGACAAGCGCTTTTGAAGTCGTTTCCATCGAGATTTGATTGACATTCCGTATTGAGCGTGTGCTAACAGTAATCAGTGGAGGCGGCATCTTACAGAATAGAATACTTGCCGAACTCAGGGCCACCCAAGACTTTGCCATAATCGTAGCAAAATTTGGATACACGATCGAGCAGGTAGCTGCCAATGTAGTAGCTTTGATTCCATTGATTAATGCTCTACCACCCGACAACCTGGAAGTTGTGGAATTTAGGCTTGTATCTGCAGCATCTATTAAGACTATCTGGTTCGCCATGTGTGCATTTGCTGTAATTGGATTGATCGCTAGTTGTTTCATTAAGAGCTATTGTCTTGATCAAGCTCTTGTAACGGATCAAGGTTTTGCAATTGGGGTAAAGAAGGTCGATATCGAAAACGCGGAGATGAGTAATAAAGGTAGCGAGGTTGAGAATTTGAAATCATCTGTGAAGGAGGAAGTCAAGGAGGTGATTGATTCCACTCACTTATCAGTCAATCGAAGTATCGGCAAGTTGAGTGAATGGGAGAAGTTGGACACATTCGGCAACCGGAAAAGCGTCAAGTCGAATGATATAGAAAAGTTGAAGCTTTCTACTGGTGAGAGAAGGGAATACTTGAAGATGTCAGAAGACACTTGCCCTATGTTTGGAAAAGACTATTAGTTGTAAATCTTTGAATATGAGAAGCCTTACCATTGTTTTTTGACTGATTTTATTTCCATTGATCCTACAAACTCATACCTCTTCAAACTATTTGTGCGATACTGAATGATAATGTTCAATGAATTTTCTACATGAATGCGTTGGCAATGAGGCATCTCTATCAAAAAAATCAAGTAAATCAACATCTCGGTACCTTCATGAATTTCTCTCAGTGCCTAGGTAGGTATTCATTCTTTCCATGCATCCGTATCTTCTCTTGTACAGTGAATTCAACATATTCTGTTTAGATTAAAGTCATTCTATCTTCAATATCTGGAATTGTCGAATTTTGATTGGCTCGCTAGGGATTTTCGTTGTTTATCCTCCACAGCTCTTTACAGCCTCTGCCGTTGTTTATGTTTTCAAATCATACGGCTTCCTCCTAAAACAACTCACAGAATTCCTCTTGAATACTATTTATCTTATCAAAATCCCTTGTTCTTCTTTCCTCGATTTTACAAGTTCAATATACAACCTGCGGATATTTATTTCAACCACCACGCGCAACTTGAAGATTTCCATCAATATCCGCGTACTTTCCTCAACATGACGGACAAAATCTCATCTGAAACCAATTTACCGCATGGCGATTCGTCCAAACCTGCGCGAAAGAAGTATCCAAGAACTACAGAGCGAAGCAAAGTTACTCAAGCATGCGACCAATGTAGAAAGTAAGCTTTTCCGCGATTCACCCCCCTGAATTCAACATATATTCACCTCGAGATAATTACAAAACTTGGTATGAAATTACTAATATTCGCACAGAGGAAAAGCTAGGTGCTCTGGAAACTATCCATGCACCAATTGCGTTTATGATAAGAAGGATTGCTCCTTTAACAACGACTACGTTCGTGGTCGAAGATTGCAAATTCAGCCAAATCCAAATTACAAACCTGATCCTCAACACAAAGTCTTCGTTGGTGGATCCAAATTAGTCAACTATGATTCTCCAATGGAAAGAGACGCGCAAATGCCACCGGTAATGGGTCCATTCGGCGAGAATCTTAATTTCAATCAAATGATGTCACAACCTCAGCAGTTGGTGGGTAGTAGTTCAACTGCTAATCGGGTCCAAGGAGCCCAACAGATCTTTGATCCTAACGCGCCTGTTTCTGTTCTTGCATATGGTGATCTACCAATGCCTATCAGTCAAGCTGGATTGGTTACTCTGCCAAGTCCTGATGATGGTGCTAAGCTTGTTCAGATTTATTTTGACAAGTTCTCCCCTAGCATATTGTTTTTACATAAGCCTAGTGTTGAACGCTGGACAGATGAGTTGCTAGAGGCTGGTGGCAATATCTTGCAAACATATTATCTCAAGAGCAGGAACGCTATCGTTTTCATGATCTTTGCGTCTGCTCAAACTTACAGTGCGAAATCGGAATGGGTAGACACCAGGTTAGTAAACCATCCTTCCTTTGTATTCTTCTGCTAACCTTTACATCTTCAATAGTATGCTCAATTACCAATTAGCCGATGAGCAATTACAATCAGAAACTGGTCCACCACAATTAACTAGCCTTCAAGCTCGACTTCTCCAATGTTACTATCTTATTGCTAGAGGTCGAATCAACCAGTGCTGGAGCACTTTTTCCAACGTCGTCAGTTTGATCTTCACACTTGAATTAAACAGACATTATAGTAACAGAGGTATTATTGATTTGGTTGAGGTGGAATGTCAAAAGAGAACTTTCTGGGCAGCTTTCTTTTTGGACAAATTCTTGAGTTATGCTTTGAATAGACCACAACGTCTCAAGATTGATGATATTGATCAAGTAAGTTATTTATTCCTACTAAGTTAACACGCAAAGTTCTGCATACTCTTTGTTGGCAGATTTGTTTGTCAATACTTTGTCAAGATGCTGGCCCCTTTCCTCGAGTCAAGAGCACCTGCCCTCGAATACATGGGGGCTCGGATAATCTGTTTAGTTGACATTGATTTATCAACTTAACAATCATGGCAGACTTAACAATCATAGCAGACATCAGAACGTCGACTATCCTTTGTTTACAATGCTAGTGTTCAGAGATGGATGGATGAATATAACAGCACAATGAAAATACTTGGATCAAAGGATTGACTAACAATTTAATTAGGAATTACCAAAAACCATCAATGACAGCCAATTTAACTCTAACAATCTCATACCTGCTTCTCCAGATGATCTCTCCTCAAACCTTTCATCTAACCTCCAATTCGAGTAAGTAACTTCTTTCTACTGCCTGCTTCAAGAAAATCACTCACCAAAATACCCTCCTCCAGACTTTCCATTATTGCAAGCAACATCCTTGACCAATTCTACGGATTCCACAAATACGAACCCGAAGAACGTTTCCACCTCGTTCAAGAATACCTCACCAGCACCTTTCCCGCCTGGAAGAACAAAGCAGCCCCATTGATTCAACTTTTACCCGAAAACCTAAACGAAAAACAGAATCGTCAACGATCAGAATTGTGGTTATCTTATCACCATACCAAGATTCTTCTCCTTCGCATTTACCTTCTCGCTCCCGAGTGCGATGCGGCGAGAGATGAAATGATCAGCAAGCTTACAAATGCGTGTAAATACATTTGCGAGATCGTGCAGCCACGTCCCAGAGGATTTCTCAAAGAAAATGAGGAAAAGCTTCGGAAACATGAGTTTCCGCTATATGCGGATTTTGCCAAATCGGTCGCTTTTAGAAGTGCTTGGGTATGTTTTATTTGGTGGCATCTCTTCAAATCTTCTTTTTTCATTTCTTCTTTCGATATGCTTGCAAGACTTGAAAGCTAATCTCCTATCCACCAGTTTCCTCAATACATCATCTTCGCCGCGACAACCGTAACCTGTATCACAGGTGCCAAGAACCCAACAGAAGCATGCAAGCCCGACAATCCAATCATGCGCAAGATCGAAATTCTCTACGAACCTCTTAAGAAGATCACATTTCCGGGTTCCTTCATGGGACTATGTGTTTCCGTTTTGGATGAGTTGAAAACTGCGATTGATGAGAATATGATGCGCCGATACGGTAAGTTAGATGATATGGACTTTGATGATGAGGAATTGGCCGGGGAACACACGAATCTGGCGCGTTGTCTTGATATAATTAGGGAGAATTTGGAGGTTGGTGAGGATGGAGATATTGATATGGGTGCGAGTAGAGAAGAATCTCATGTTATGATTCGGTTTCGTTGTTGGGGTTTTGCGGGACTTGCTAATCGGATGTTGGAACGTGGATTTCAGGGTAGGTTGAGCTGAAGTGGGAGGGATGTGGGTTTTATTGAAGTGGGCTTCGTGATGTTAGGGCTATGCTTTTTTTGTCTTGGCTGGTGCCCTAGTCGTCATTCTTGACATTGTCGTCAACTTTGAGATGAAATGGGTTGATCAAACATCTTGCAGATATATTGGGGTGCGTCGAAGCATTTCATATGGATATGGATATGAATACATCATACATCACAATTTACGGTTTTTACAAGCAAATCAGTAGATAATTCAAGGATTCATCTATGGATTTGATTGATTAATTAGTTAATTTATCATTTCATGAATTGAATGACTAAAATGAGATGAGAGATTCGATGAGTGATGCAATCTGGGTAATAATCAATGGCGGACATTAAAGACAATATGAGCAGACATAATTCTTCTACCTCGAGGGTCTTTGTAAATACAAGAGAAGCATAGCTGCAGAGTGTGAATGAATGAGATTAAATGGATTGAGTAGTAAGGCAGGTCAGTCTAATGGGCAAATAAATAAATCTTCCTACCTACCTAAAAACGAAACACTAGATAGAGCAAATATTCGAATTGATGAATGAATGAACGAATTCGTTTATGTTCTTTTCAAGCCATCTTTTTTTTTTCGTCTTTCCTAGATTCTTAATTTGCTTGCTAAATAGGCTATATAGGGGTGGCTGTCTGTATGTATATAACAAAGTTCCCAAAATTTAGATGTATTGAATTAGGTGGAAATACCGGGCCAGTCTGGTGGGTGAAGAAATGGATATGGTTAGCTGGGTTTTGGACGTTGTGGTTGTTATATCATTAGGGAGAAGAAAAAAGAAAAAGAAAAAAGAAAAAGAAAAAAGAAAAAAGAAAAAAGAAAAAAGAAAAAAGAAAAAAGAAAAAAGAAAAAAGAAAAAAGAAAAAAGAAAAAAGAAAAAAGAAAAAAGAAAAAAGAAAAAAGAAAAAAGAAAAAAGAAAAAAGAAAAAGAAAAAGAAAAAAGAAAAAAGAAAAAAGAAAAAAGAAAAAAGAAAAAAGAAAAAAGAAAAAAGAAAAAAGAAAAAAGAAAAAGAAAAAAGAAAAAAGAAAAAAGAAAAAAACTAAACCTACAAAATCTCGTCCTCTCTCCATTTCTTCTCGAAACTTGCACTGCATCACCAACTCTCAACACCTTCCCTTCATTCACATCTCCATTTCCTAGAAATCCGTAGCGTCCAAATATAGGACTATATTTCATGCCGTCATCTACGCGTCGATCTTTCATGAGGAGTTTTAGGACTTCTTTTTCTTTGGGAGCGGAGGTACCGGTTTCATGGTCCACGTTGAGGGAGACGCAACGGCCGCAGTTGGCGGTTAGGATGATTTCTTTGGGGGAATTGGAGTCGGAATTAGCATCGGAAGGGGAATTAGAGGAGAAGGTTAATCCGCCCCAGTAATCTTCATCGTATGCGCGGGGCGAACCGGAAATAATGATGTTGGCGCGGAACTTTGTAATGTCCATTTTAGGGGTTGGCGAGGGCCCGGAGGGGAGACGACTGGTGACGTCGTCACAGGAGGATTGGGTGATGATGAGGTAGGGGGCACAGTCGTTGAAGATGATGGAGGGAGGTTTGGGGGTGGGGAGAAGGGAATTGAGGAGGGGAATTTTTTGGAGGAGGGGGCGAGTGGGAGGGGTGTAGGTTGCGGGTTTTCCGGGGAGATTGCCGAGAACGAGACGTCGGTTGAGCCCGGCGTAGGCGAGGAGTACGGGGTATTTGAAGTGTTGGGAAAACCAGCTGTTGTAGGTGGATCCCATGTCGTAGGCTGTCATGGGGCTTTTGTGCATGGTGATTGAGATTTCTGGGAGGTGGGAGAGGGTGGAGGGGGAGAGGTCAATGGTTAGGGTTGGGTGGGAAGAGACTGGGGTTTGGGGGGAGGAAGAGGGAGCGTGGTAGGTTACGTGAAGAGTGGAGTCTGTGATGGAGGTGTGGAATAGAGCCATTTCTGGAAACTCGGATATGTGCATATTTTGATAGCGACCCCATTTGGAATTGGGATCGTGGATGCGAAGGAGCATGAATTTGCGATCGTAGGAAAATCCTTCTTTGGTTAGGGTGGCCGAGGGGAGAGAGCATCCCCGGAGGGATTTGATGGGGTAGATGTAGAGCTTTATGGTATTAGTTGGATGTGAATGTTGATTGTGATTCTGGGGAAAATCATGTAACATACTTGACTAATAGTCATTTTTGGACCGGATGGAGAAGAAATCGATTTAGAAATGTCTTTCTGTTGGGCAGTAGCCGTGGCCAGTGAAATCCCATCTACTTTTTTCACAATCGAAGCCAGCTCATGGTCATTCTCAAGTATTCCCGATCTCCCTTCCAACATCCCTTTAAGATCCGTAGCTATCTCTGCAACTTCTTTCCGGGATTTTTCATCTCGTTGAATCTGCGCTTCGGCATTATGAAGCCGTTTTCTGTACTCCTCAAGCTGAGTACTTCGGGTTGATAGCTTGATCACAAGATACCATATCAAACCGATTTGGAAAATCGATCGGAAAGACCACTCTCCTAGAATAGGTATGCGGATTGTGTTCATATAATGAGTGGCCTTTTCAATCATATCCCACAAGGAATCGAGAAATGGTTCTGAGGTTGCCATTCCTTCGGAGTGGGAGGTATTCGTCGTTATTACTGGGTATGTTATGAACCGCTCAGAAGTATGCAGTAATTTAATCGAGGAATCTGGAAACCGAGGAGTCTTATTGTCTAGATGTTTTCATATCAAATAAATTGCTGAGATGGATGTCGTTGAGATGTATAAAATACGCTTGCTTACAATTCCCTCATTTTGGTGTGAAGTGTTAATCTTATCTGACGAATCAGAGAAAAGATGGATATTCTTACCCGATAAGGCGAGTTTATTCCTCAGTATCATGAGTGTATTTCATCTATCGCTCTCCATTTGAGTTCTATCAGTTAATAATGATATGTATATCTTTCCATCGACAGTACGAGCGCAATTAAACTTCAAGGACCTGCGAGGTCTTGAATATTTCGGATAGTCACGTGAACGGCGCCTCACTGATTCTTGGTCTCTACTGCCGACTCGAACGACACAACTTAGCGAACATACATAGCGAACATGCGTTGTGGAGACTTTTAAAGATCTCGGAGTGAAATTATACAAAATGTCTTCATTTTCTTTCATTTCATCAACTCATCACGTGTGTCAAGCTGTATAACCTTCGGCTTCACTCACTACAAGGGAAGCATCTCCGAAAGACCTAGTATCCATGGATATACCCCGCTTTTCCCCAAGAAGCTAAGTGGGATATTCTCCTCCACGTGCATCAACCATAGGACCTTAACTTCATCCGAACTTTTTGTACCTGCAGAGATAATTTACTTTTTAACATTTTTGGGATGCAATTCAATATGGATCCTAGATGCATATGGAGATTAGGTTTTTACATTTGTATATAAAAGGAAGATGAATTCCTGCTCTTGGCAATGGAATATTTCACTTGTCGATTCTTGAAATTAATTATCATATCGTTTGTCATTATGCATTCATTAACGATTTGGTTGAGCTTTCTCTCGGTTGTGGGTGCGATTCCGGGTGCTCAGTTTCCTCATGCTACTCCAGCTCCTTACTATGACGCTCGATCAAATTCCGGATCTCATGATAAGAGTTGGATAAATTATACTGCTGTACCGGGGTTCTTTTTACAAGATGAAGCAACGACTGTTCCGTCGACTTTCGATTATGTATGAATTCTTATCTTTTCTTCATTCTTTGGATATACATCATTCATTACACATGTGTTAGCTTTTATAAGGCTAATCATATTCACAGACTCAATGGAACTTTGGTCTCCTAAATCGAACTTATCCTACAGATTCCCGTGCCTCTAAGAATACAAGTCAATGGGAGAGATTTGAGAAATATGTGACTTCTTTAAATAAAAACTCGAAGAAGAATGTGAACTATAAAGTTTTATTTATGGGGAGACATGGCGAAGGATGGCATAATGCTGCTGAGACTTATTATGGAACTCCTGCTGTAAGTTTTTTGATTGAAGATATGTTGATGAATTAATCGCTAATGGTAGATATAGTGGAATGTATGTACTTGTTTTGATAAATTAATCTAGCTTCGGAATGAATCTAATGATTGTAGTGCTATTATTCCGAGTTGGATGGTAATGCCACTGTTACCGTACGTACCACGAGTCCTCCGCCTACTTCTGAAAGTATCAGAATGAATCTAACATTTTTTAGTGGGCAGATGCTCATTTAGATCCTAATGGGATTACTCAAGCTCAAAAAGCATCAAACTACTGGCTTTCCCGAATTCAACTTCAAAATATTCCACTTCCACAATCTTACTATACTTCTCCACTCTATCGCTGTCTTCAAACTTCCAACATTACATTCTCAACTCTTCCTCTTCCTAAATCTCGTCCTTTTAAGCCATTGGTCAAAGAACTTCTCAGAGAAGGGATTTCTGGTCATACTTGTGATCGAAGAAGTAATCGTACTTTCATTCATGAATCATTCCCCTCATATAAAATCGAGAAAGGGTTCGCAGAGATTGATCCATTCTGGAAGGCATTGGAGGGTGAAGTTTCTATCGATCAGGATATTAGAAGCAAGAAGGTCTTGGATGATATTTTTGGAAGTGATGATCATACTTGGTTGAGTGTTACAAGTCATTCGGGGGAAATTGCTAGTATTTTGAGAGGTATGATTTCTCTATTCATTTTGTTGAATTTTCGCCTCTGGTCATTACTTTTTCCAGTAGGCAGTATATCACTCGATGTTTTTTCGATGTCAAACTGGGCTGTTGGGAAAGGATTTGGACCCGGTTGGAATAGGTGGGCATTTCAGTCCAGCCTGTTCTCTTGGTGTCAACTCCATCCAAAATTATTTACTTTCCTTCCAAAATATCGCAGAGTACTAACCTCATACCACACAGTTCTCCACCACCAAGTCTTCAGCTTAGTAACTGGATCCATCATTCCAGTCTTGGTAAAAGCAGAGACTATTTCCGGAAGCCCGACTTCAACTTCCTCTCTACCTGTAAGTATTTTCACTACTTCTCTTACCATTTTTCTGGTAGACACAAAAATATTTTGTAATAATACTAATGACAATGGTTTGATTGCAGTGGACGACTATATCGACGTGTACCAGTCCTCCAGCCAACACGGCTACCTCATAAGGTGGAAGGAAAAGAAGAAATTTGAGGATAAGGTGGAAAGGAAAAGGATCGTAATACCATTCTCATAAGAAGCACACTATAAGTCCGATAAATTAGTAATACCAAATATGTTTCTCTTTGCTTTCTCTTCTCTCCTGGTGTATGTACGAAGATCATCGCTTTTGTTTCCATTCCCCACGTGTGACAGGTCCTTTATTTCCACGAAAAAGTCAAGCTTCTCCGAAACTTTCAAGAAAGTATCGCAATATAATCCCATTACGAATGAGTACCATAGTCGATGATCTTATTTACGATCATGATGATGAATTCCCTTATTCTCGCAGCAAGAACACGAAGAAGAATTAAACCACAACGTTCAATCTCTACGTGTTTTGTATCATCATTCCATCCATGCGCCTGCGTCTTATCATGATTACTTTTTTTCTCTTGATCGATTTCTTTTTCTGCGAGGTTGCGGGTTGTGGTGAGAGATATGTGATTAAGAGTTAGAATAAGTGATGTGTATATGTCGAGTCGAGAGTAGTGATTTATGGATCGTTGGTTTGATTCTGAATTATAAATTTTTTTCGTCTGTAATATGTATCTTGAGGTAGAATCTCTGGTATATCGAGGATGCTGAATTATAGCCTAGGAGAAGGTGTGCTGATATCCGAGAATGGAAATCGAGTTGCGGGGATTAACATTTTTGAGTTTGGAGACTTTGTATTGGGGGAAGTAGTTGGAGGGGAGAGAAGAGAAAGAAAAGTATGATGTAGAGAGGTACATTTTATGGAAGAATACTGTGGGGGAAGATAATGAAGATATATATAGGAATTTAGGGAGGTTGGAGAAGTTATACGTGAGCGATTGGTATGTGATGGATGAATGAATGAATGATAAATTAATGAGAGGAGTGGATGATACAAGGAGGGGACTTCGATGGTCTTATAGTAAAATCAGAAGAGGATATGCAGTGCATGAGTCATGTGTAAAATAAGCTCAAGAAGTTGGGGAAGACTAAAAGTAGCGAAACTAGGAATTAAGTTAAGTTGAGTTTGGAGACTAAAGTCTTGTGGAGAGTGGAATTGTAATAGACTATTGAATTTATGTTAGTGTTAGTACGGAGATGGTTATGAAGGGGGGGTATAGGATGGAGTTGAGTGGAGTAGAGGAATATTTTGGGTTTCTGGTTTTGTTTGTGGAAGTTTGTAGAAGGGGAGAGAAGGCGGAAGTAGAGAATAGAATTGAGGAGAAGGGAAAAGAAGAATAAGAAATCCAAATACGGCATGAGAAAGAGAGTAAAGTGAGGACAAATAAGCAGTAAAGTGCTAAGCGAGGTTAAGCGAGGGTTTGTCTCCCCCTTGATTTTATTGTAAGTATTGTTACATACAATAGGGAAGATTGTAGATCTCACATCATAGTCATGAAAATTCTATAAATATTATTCAAATTTTCTGCGTTGCTAGATATTAGTTTGATTGTAGACCCCATGAACGAAAATTTCCAGGAAAGATTTTGAATTGATGACGAAAATAACTAGGAATTTCATAATAACAATTGGTTTCACAGGAATAAATATCGGTCTTTAGGCTCTAATTCATTGGATCATTGAGACGTCTCAATATACTTATCTATAGGGTTAGAAAAATTTAGTCACCGAGTGAAGCTCACGTTCTTTCAAATCTCAGAAATTTAAAAACATGTAGTATTCCCAGAAGAAAAAATTCCAACGTCTTTCCATTGACAGAAACTCAAATAATCTACCAAAATAGTGTGCCAAGATGACATACTAGATAGTGTCACTAAGTGACACCTTTGATACCAAGACAGGCACGCTTTGATTGGGCTTAAATAATAGTACTTTTGTACTCATTGAAAAGTCGTGATTGTGAAATCATTAGGTATCGCAAGCTTCTATTCCCAAAAAGGAAAAAGAAGCGAGGTACTAAATCATACTGCTTAAAAGCTGGAGTAAAGAAGAGAAAATATAGCAAACAAGCATATGCAAAACTATAACCGTAGAATAGTGGAGTAACACATACTCCTGAACATGTGGAAGAAGGTATGAAGACCCACATCATTACTCGAGAATCAAACGTTAAAAGGCAAAAAATGTACTGAATGACTTATCGAAGTCATATCAATGAGTCGAATATTCTAAGGGTAGTTGTGACGGATATCTTGGCTGAAATATCGACATAAGATAGTCATCACGCCATACCAAAAAGACTCTCAAAATTTCAATCTATCCCTCCTTTTGTTGCTCTTCCTCTCTAGTGCCGGGACCGTCGAATGATGTATGGACTAGTGTCGATGCTGTCAAAAAAAACTTTATTGATCACGGGTGACGGCGTTGTCCTTTTTGAAATCATTATTAGCTTTTAACTTTCTTGTTCCAAGATTTTGACGAATAAAAAAAGGGAAAAAGGAAATCAGGATACAGTGCAAACTAATGAGATTGTTCTCTTTTAGTTACCCTCCGATCTTGCTGATCGTGGGCTAAAAAGTGGAGGTAACCATGACAACATACTTCTCATTGAGGTCTACATAAATGAGCAACTCCCCTGTATTCACCCTCTTTATGTAGGTTCTCTGAGATTGATGATCAGGAAATCTCAGGGAGTGAATGCATTATCCCAAGGTTCTTGTTAAGAGGTTTGGAGAAGGGGGAGAGGGAAGAAAATGAAGGGGATTGTGAATACCCTCATTGAATCAGAAACTCAAGTTCGAGGTTGTGGAAGAGACGTTGAAAACAAAACAGAATAGTGGGTATGACAACTTGCAAATATGGCAGATGGCAGAAAGTAGGAATAACAAGAATAATAGAAAATTAAACATACCATATCACCATTTGAAGATGATCCGGTGACCTGATCAACGACTACATAGTCATTCGCTCCTTCCTCGCTTCCGTCATGCTCATTAGAGCTTCCGTACGTGGCGACAGAACTGCCACCTGTTGAGGAAGATGAAGTACTCGAAGCATCAAAGACTCGAGCATTCATAAATGTAGAACTTAAGATAGTGCTTGCAGAGGAAGTTGTAGTGACGGGGTTGACTGTCAAAGAATTAAAGGCAACTCTAGAAGGGTGAACGGTGATCACAAGAGTTTGAGTGGCTTGAAGAACAACTCGGTTATTGCCAGCAGCTGGAGCATTGCCAACAGTTTGAGCATTGCCAACAGCTTGAGCACTGCCAACAGTTTGAGCATTGCCAACAGCTTGAGCACTGCCAACAGTTTGAGCATTGCCAACAGCTTGAGCACTGCCAACAGTAGCTTGAGCACTACTACCACTCTGAGCGTCTCCAGTGACCTGGGCAGCGCCAATGTTAGAAACATTTGTCGCAGCCATTGTAGGATACTCGATCGGTCTCTCAGCCGTAACCATAGCGTGATAACGGGCTCTTTGAGCTCGGAGTGTAAGAGGAACATATTCCTCGGCAACTCGTCGAGCGAGATGAGGACGATGGTTCATTGGGGCTGGAGGACCAGCTTGATTGTTATCAACTGGTTGATTGTTGTCAACTGCTTGATTATTGTCGACCTGTTGATTGTTGTCGACTGCCTGATTGTTGTCGACTTGTTGATTATTGACGACTTGTTGATTGTTGTCGACCTGTTGATTGTTGTCAACTGCCTGATTGTTGTCGACCGCTTGATTGTTGACGACTGTCTGATTGTTGACGACTTGTTGATTGTTGACGACTTGTTGATTGTTGACGACTTGTTGATTGTTGACGACTTGTTGATTGTTGTCAACTCCTTGATTATTATCAACTGCCTGATTATTATCGACTGGTTGATCCATTTTGGCCGCTGGAATAAACTTGATCGGTTGACCCACGTAGTGTAGTTGGCAGGGAAACGTATCGACAGGAAGCTTGACGCCTTTAACAAATCTGCTACTGCACCAAATAGTATGATTAGTATTCGATCGAGTAAAGGACAGCAAGGTCTCAGGATTCTTTCGTAACACGTACCAATGCGAGCACGATTTCTTCTCTCGGATTCCTGTTGTCGCACAAAGAATTGGAGTGTCAGGTTCGGAAAGAGGGGGGACACGTATGCTTTTTATACTGTTTGGATGATAGGGAAGCGTGATTGGAGTGTTGACCTCGGAATGCTATGTCAAGAGATAAAATCTACTAATGACTGGCCTGAGAGAAAAGAAAGAAGATTGGGACGGAAGAGAAGAGTTGATATCAACCGACGCTTGTGTGTATTAACATGTGTGGTCACGAGTGTATGTTCTAACAGAAAGAATATTGCAGTCCGTCTCTTCTCTGTTGATGACCATAAGTTAAGTGAAGAGCTCTACGCCTTTTCATTCGTTCGCTTGGATCTTTTTCTCGATGAATTCCACTTTTCTTCGAACCCAAGATCAATCAAGTGGTCCATTGTATCTTGGTGATTATAGTTGGATTGAGATCCTTGGTTTTCCCATAACTATATCCAACAGCATCCAGGAATTGGTCGAAAGATTTGTCAAACTTCTCTAGTGTCGGGTTGATCTTCCAGATTCCGTTAAGGGTATCGGTACATGAACGCTTAAATGCACAGACAATTCTGTCAAGGAGTAAATGTCACGCGAAAAGTACGGGAAGAGCGGGAGTTGACACTCCCAAAATAGAACAAGAACGACAATTCTTTTTGGATGAATTCCATTCAAAATTAATACCACATGAATGAAATGGTATTTTGATTTGAGAATTGGTATACAGATACTTGACGCTTTTCTCTCATTGACATACTCTACAATATTTTTGGATGGCTGCTTTAATCAAGCGTTATCTACTGAAGTTAAACCCTAAATTTGGCCGTTCATTGTTGGTACGGCGACCTTGTGCTCAACTTTTAGTTAGATCTAGGTTAGGCGAGATGCAGATCTGGGTTAGGTGAGATGGAGTGCGTGAACCCCTCTTTCCAAAACCCACGTTTTGACATGGTTACCTACAACCAGATACCCAAGTCGACAGAAAACTGATTCTCATCACAAAATTTTCAAATATTTGATATCTTCATAATTTATACAGACGATTTCTTGCACGCCTGAGTCTGGGGTGCATAGGAGTTTATTCGGCACACCTCGGTTAGCAGCTTGGCCTTGATTCCCTGCGGCGATCATAACGCTAATCAAGAGCCTCACCGTAATCCAGCAGAAGAAAATACCTCAAAAATCGATCCAGAATAATAATAATAAAGTCTATAATTTGTTCGCAAACAAATTTCCACATTAAATACAACCAAAAATAAAGGAAATATAAATTTTCTCGTCATTAGATAAAAACTTCAAAAGCAGAGTAGAAATTATTAGATCTGCTTACTAAGTTATATTTGCTTGAGTCAAGAGTTTGTCTATACATATCAGACCGTAATGATACTTGCTAGGTGAACTCTATGTTTAAAAGCTGGAATGGACACCCATATAATTTATGAGCGTTATGTGTCCTTTTCAGTTTTGAAACCCCAATACCTTACCTTGGGTGTATATTTTAGGTCTCGGTACCTAGGTAGTATTACATAACTCCTCCGGTCATTCTAATAATAAAGACACCTCACGTACCATACATGATTCTCCACCGAAACAAAAGACTATCAGGTATGATGAATAGTTATCCGTACTGAGATATACCAGCATACTATTCCTCAGAGCGTGCTGGATGAGATAAAGAATAGTACTTTGAGTGGAAAGAATTACGTTAGAATTGTCACGTTTACAATTATTCGAATACTCGAGTAATGATAATAATCAATCCTTATTTCATACATCTACCATAAAAGCAGCCATCAGATGATCATTAAATGATAACTACAATTATCTCCGCATCCATTCAAATCCATTCAAATCCATTCAAATCCATTCAAATCCATTCAAATCCATTCAAAAACAAATCAATCCCTCAAAATTCAATAGGTACACCCAACTCATCATCACACCATATCACATTATATCACATCATATAAACCTTCCCGCAAAACTTTCATCCACACACATATACCAAAAATATATTTGATTTATTTTATTTCATCTCATCTCATCTCATCTACTCTTATTTTTCCCCTTCCCTTCCACTTTCTATTATTCGCTAATATCCCCCATCCATCTTCATCTCCATCTCCATCTCCATCTCCATCACTTCCACCCTTTCATCTCCTCCATTCCCCAATCCCTCCCACAATCCAAATCCAGATCGTTATCCACCCCATCCCTCCAAACATGAAAAACATAAACTTTGGTATCATAACATTATGCATGCATGCACATCCAAATAATTTCTCCAATCAATCCATCACACAATCCATTACCACAAACAAATCCATCCCTCTACAAAAATTCAACAAGATTTATCCATCCATTCATACATCCCCCTATTAAATGCAAATTCCCCCCATTTGCCAATAACCAAACCATGCGTCCGTCCATCCCCGTCCCAGAACCCAAATACACGAATGCTATGGGTATATCGAGAAAAAAGAAGGGTCGAACGCCTGCCAGTTTAGCTACAACCAAACCAAAACAATGCCAAATTCGACAAAAAAACAATATTTGCCGCCGATAGAAAAAGAAAGTCATAACGACATAACAGCATAATTCATTACTTTGTCACCTTCATCTCACCTCTTCCCATCACTTCTCTTACCACATTCCCGAATCTTCATCTTCACCCCTCACACCTATTGAGGCGCCCCAGTTCCCGCCCCTTCTTGTCCCTTCAACAAAGTCCTCAATGTAAGAACCTCTCTCCTCAACCTAGCATTTTCCTTCTTAACTCTCGCAGCTTCCTCACTACTTTCTCTCATTCTCGTAACCAATTCTTCTTTCGCACTCATTGTTCCACCCACACCATTCCCATCTTCACCTCCAGCACCACCCTTTCTACTCGCTCTCAAAGCCTTAACAATCTTCCCCAATTCTGCATTGAACTTCTCATAAAGTAACTCATTCTCCGCACTACTCTCCTTATAAAGTTGATCCAATCCTTTAACCTTGAACTCACTCGCCTGTAAACTAACTTCCAACTCCTTTTTAACCGCATCATTTCTCTCATTCAAATCTTTCACAATATTTGGAATCTTCGTCTCCAACAACAAAACGGCTTCAGAAAGTCTGGCAATATCTGAAGTTCTAGGAATGGCAGAAACAGCATTTAATTTTGCCATTTCTTCACCAATCTTAGACAACTCATTTTGAAGAGAAGCTTCTGCTTCATTTATTGCTTTGGCTTCATTTTGTAAACGTTCGCGAAGTTTTTGTGGACTTTGAAGACGAAGACGTTGAGGAGATTTGATAGTTCCATTCAAGTTGTTTGCGTGTGATGTTATTGGACGAGAAGGATCACGAGGGGTTCCACGAAGAGTAGGGATGTTTGATGAGAGAGAAACTGTTTTGTTATGACCGGCTCGCCATTGTTCTTTGACCGGTGATGCAAATGGTGTAGAATCCAGAGAAGACATGATATTCTGAGCTCGTTCGGTTAAATTACCCATACTGCGATCGATCCGATCAGGGGATGTGATCATAGGTACGTTTTCCTTGAGAGCAGGTGAACTTCGGTACATTAAAGATCGATCTCTATCCATGATTGAACCGTTTGCTGGAATTTTCGTAATCTTTAATGGAGAGGTTAGAACCTTTACAGGTGATGGAGTTCTTGGTGGAGAATTTGCCCTTTTATTTGGCGGTGTAATCGTAGCAGGTTGTTGTTCGGGAGATGGAGTCATTGGTCCAAGTGTTGCTTGAGCCATCAAACTTTTCAGATCAGATAAAGAACTTCGACGTTTCTTTTTCGATGATCTGGTAGTACCATCATCCTTCGAATCTTCAGGTGGTGGTGATGCACCGATAGTACTAAGCCTTGATTTTGGTGCAATTGAATCAGAACTACCAGGTCTTTCATCAAATGCCCCCATCACTGTAGGTCTATCACGAGATGCTGGTCGACTTTTACGATCTGGTGATTCGATTGAATGAGCTCTTCCTAAGGATGGCTTTGATGTATATTGATCTCCAGTAGCAACACTACGAGTAGTCTTACTCAATGTTCTCCAAACTGAAGGACGATGATCAGCATCAGCTTTGGTACTACCTTGACGAAAGACAGTATCGGCAAATCTTCTTCGCAATGATGTATTTGATGTAATAGATCCGGTGGCTGAATGGATTGATCGACTTGCCACGGAACCATAGTTACTACCACCTCCAAGACCAATACCAGGTCCAGGTCCCAGATCATCAAACAATTTATCGGAATCTTCGACAACACGATCCAATAAATTAATATAGTTATGTGGTTCTCCATCAACGACTAGTAACTCAGCAAAAGCGACTGTGAGAGAACCACGATCACCATCATTACCACACCCATCCAAGAGATCCGCCAATAATTTGATGATGGCAATAAATGCTCTCCTATTCTGTGGTGCCATTTCTCCAAATATCAATCTGACATATTCATTGAAATCTCCAGGGAATAATTTGATAGATCTTTCTTGTAGAGCGTCAAGAGAATCGAGTGACATGACAGAACCCATTTGTTCCTTCCATGCCAATCGGAGAAACTTCTCAAATGCCACAAAAATAACATCAAAAGAAGTTTCAGAAGCTGCTCGAGTATCGAACGGATTTTCAATAAAAGTGTTATATAAAGCATTGACGGCCAATTCATCAGCAGCTCCTCTATTGCGTAAGTTTTTTCCAACAACGTTTCCTTTTCTTGATTGAAGAGCTGCAATATAACCAGTGAAAGTTTCCTCCAGTCGGACAAGTGGATTGACCGGTCTACCCTCTTCAAAAGGAGCTCGAACACTACCTTTACCATCCGAGAAATCTTGGATTGAATGTAAAGATCGATTACTACCCGTTCGAACGATTTGTGGCGATTCCAATGATGGGATCTTACCCATTATCATAGGTCGAGAGATTTTACCAGGAGATGCCAACCCATTGAGACTCGTAGTTGATGGTGAGCCTCCGAAACCACTATTGAGTAGACTGGAAAGAATTTTGACAGGAGAATGTGGTCGATACGATTTTGATCTATCACCCTCACACAGAACGTCGATAGATTTTAGAATTTTCGAGTAAAAAGAGGTAAAAGGTGCAGATAAGGCTGGATTGCTGATGTGATGTTGAAGTCGAAGTAGATCGGTTACTAAAATGGTTAGTCATGTCCTCACAAATAATACACAGCCACTTACCTCTCTTGGCAAATGTAACCATCAAGTACTCAGGAAGTACTTCATCCACATACACCCTATCATTAAGTCCGTCTACCTCGAGTCTATATTTCTCTCCTCCTGCTAATGTTGTGACATTGGCTACGATATCAACACCATAATGACCCACGGGAGCACCCTTTGTACCTTTCTCGTGATCAACCACTAAACGAACAGGAGCAGGTCCTCTCCGGCCTTGAACCAAATCGTCAACACCTTCAGCAAAAATGGCACAATAAATATGAATTCCAGCCGGCTTAATCGATCGTAAACTCCATCTATCGGTTTCGCGCTCAGCCTCCGAGAATCTTCCTTCAAGTCTAGCTTTGATCAATTCCTCACCCAACCTAGATGCCTTGGCTTCGTAAGCTCCTTGTAACACAAAGTTTCGAACTGTAGCAGGTTGATTACGATCCCGTCCCATATTTGCGTCTTTCAACTCATGTAAGGAGGTTAACCAAATAGATCGATTATCATCAGATGATGTAACCCTAGTATCTCCAAGAACATGCCAGCCAGTAAAAGAAAGGTCATAGAGATGTTTTTGTCCACCAGCTGCTGCGGTAACTGATGCCATCATAGTTTGCGCAGAAGGTTTATCAATCTCCGCCATGACACCTCGAGCGGTCTGTAAACAATCCTTATTCTTCTTCAACAAAACAATACAATCAGCGAAGAGTAGCAGTATACCTTCCTTGGTCATACCTGCACTGCTACCTGTCGTGACTTCAACATGATATGGAGGTGGCAACTCTATCGTATCAACCGCCGTGATTAGACGTCCTTGAGGATGTAGTGTAGAAGGCCAAGCGTCAACCAAATATCTCAATCGATTCACCACTTGTGACTTATCAGCTGCTGGAGGATCAAGTGAGCATATCGAAGTAATGATATCTCTAGCCTTCAACATAGGTTGTAAAGCTGGATGTAGCACTGGAAGCGAATTGACAATATTATCAATAAAGAGACTATATCTTGGTAATCTCTGAACCGGCTCAATTACAGCCGATCTCAGACGTTGTTCCCCGGTAGCTTGTACCCGACTTGAGAAGCTACTTGGCTGCTTCATGAAGCTCGAAATGATTTGTGGAAATTCCTGGCTAGCATGGATATATTGTTGGTAACTCTCGGAAAATTGTGGGAACCATTCAAGTAAGACTTTGGCAAAGGCCAGTGCACCCGTAGGGTCCTTCAAACGACCCGAGCCACCATATCGAGATGAGGTGGAGCTGACTATTGGTGTTTCCAGATCTTGCATGGCTTCTTCCTCGGTTTCATCCATCACTTTTCGTATCGCTGATAAGAAGGTGGAATTAATTTGTAGGATTCGATCCAAGCATCGTGGGAATAGCTTTTGTAGATCATCTTCCGAAGGGCTGAAACTTCCAAATGCTCGACTTTTGGCTTTGGCTCGAAAATCATCTGCGATATGATTGACCAATTCATGCATCTTTATCACATAACGTTCTTCCGTATCTACCAATTCTCCCATCTCTCGTCGCAAAGCCATCTTTTGATCCTTCTGAAATGATTTACTTCGATTCAATGATGTCGGTTTCGACGGGGCTCGACGTAATTTTGACGTAGGCAGGAATGCCACTTCTCCAAAGACCTTGACCAATGATGCATATGATCCATACTGCCTCAAGGTTAGATCGGGATATTCTTCCTCATCCAAATCTCCCTCCAATTCTTGAAAAGGTGATATCGAACCCGGCGGCAGAACCAAATCCACATCCACATAATTAATATTTTGTATTCGTAACGCGGCTTCAATATCTCTCGTCACATCTGGCGTATTTTCCACCCTCACCATCGAACTTGCCAAATCTGCCGCATGTTGTTCGCCGAATAATGTCGGTGCCGAACCTGGTCTTTGTTTCCTTGACGTATTCGCAACTTGTAATATTAATCCACTCTTCACCACCTCTGGCAACTCTTTGAAATATTTGAATAGACCGAATGCTAGACCGCGACATAATTCATCTCCTTGTTTATCGCGCGGGAGATAATTCACGGACTCGTATAGCGGTGAGTTTGGTGAAATGGTTATGCGCTGGTAAGATTGAAAACCCGCAGCGGTGAAGATGTGAAGTTGAATTCGTGAACTGTTGAGGGTCGAATTGGTGGTGGTAGAAGGACCATGATATATGAGGACGGGTAGGTTTGAAAGATGAGGGTCGTGTGCGTAGAATAGATTTAGATGATCGAGGGACAAAGCCAGCTCATCTGTAACTCGAACCATTGTAGGAGAAGAATTGAGAGGTTGTTGAGATGTTGAATTCGGATTGGGATTTGAGAGGATGAATGGTATGGTATGGATGGTATAGTTCCGAAATCGTGGGTCTCTTTAATGTGTGGCCTCCTTCATGGCGAATGGAATGAAATATATGACCTTTTTCTTCTTCTTGCTTTTCTCTCAATATTATTTGGCAGAGGTTGAAGAACACAAGATCAAAAGAACAGATGATTACTTTTACCCTTGTTTGTTTGTTTGAAAAGATGGTGGTGATGTTTTTTGACAAATCTAAATCAAAAAGAAGGTCAAGTATTTTGTGGTGGGTATTGATTTGTGGTATAGAATTCGTTGAACCCGACTGGTTGATTGTGGTTGATATGGTACAAGCAGACAAGCAGACAAACAGATGGACAGCAGATGAAGGACAGAAGACAGAAGGCGGAAGGCGGAGGGCAGATGACAGATGACAGAGAAACAGACAGACAGATGGAGAGAAGAATTGTATCATAAAATTTGGGGAGGGTTGGTAAGGTACGGGGAGTGGAGTGGAGTGGAGGGGATTATGGTGGTGATATCAAATTATTGCGGCAGAGATGAACTTGATGAGTGAGTTGGAGTGAGTGAGTGGATAACGTGAGAAAAATAATAAAGAAGAAGGCCGGCGTAATAAAGTAAAATGCAGAATGCAAAATTTAAAATATAGTCAAATGTGGTAATAAATGAGGTATTGATTGTGTTTGATTACTTGTCGATAACCTTTTTAAATAACAAATAGAGTATTTTTATTAATCTCGTGAAGTTGTTTATATCATCATTTTGATCTACATTTTATATTTCTGTCTTTTCTATCTCTTCTACCTTTTCTTTTCTTCCCTCTCTTTCTTCTCTTTCTTCTCTTTCTTCTCTTTCTTCTCTTTCTTCTCTTTCTTCTCTTTCTTCTCTTTCTTCCCTTCCCTTTCCCCTTCCCCCTTTCACCCCTTCACTCCTCTTCACTCCCTTTACTCATCCACCTCCACACGTTCCTCCAACATATTTGACGTTAAAAAGGAAAAAACGCGTTGTGGCGCATTTCGAGTATATTCGTATAGATGTGTACTATGTAGGAGGTAGGAGGTAGGAGGTAGGAGGTAGAAGATAGATATGTATGTATGTATGTATGTATGTACAACACTTCAAACATCTATCAAGTGATTGTGGATCTCCTGTTTAGTATTCCCAATGACATGTATATTATATGATGGCTGGTCTTATTGATATTGATCATTTTATATAAACAGCTGAATCCATTGGTGTCGTGAGATTCATCGTTATTCCTTGATCTTTTATCGTTATCTTTATTATTATCTATCTATCTATCCCTCTATCTCTCCCGCTCTTCCATTTTCCTTCTTCCCTTTCCTTCTCTCGTCTCTATAAAAAGAATTCATCGTAGGGAGTATATAGTATTGTATCATCCATATCCATATTCACATCCCTCCCACCCATTCATTCATCCATCCATCCATCAATCCATCAATCCATCAATCCCATGTAACCGCGTCCAGCCCCTCGATTTATTCTCCACGCGATGATTGGCCTCGTACTCCTTTCCCAATTCCCATGGAACACGAAAAAGTTCCTCAAGTCCACTCACTTATTAATTACTTACCCCGCCGTCCAGCTGAGCTTGGTTTGTTTGCTGATGATTTCTTCACTTGACTTGACATTTTTGCATCTTTTTTTTTCTTCTTCTCTCACACTCAAAAAAAGAAGAGGTTGGTGATCTACTTAAGGCTGAGTTGTCTTTGATTAAACCAATTTAATTTGAGTTACCTCTCGTTCCCTTCTCTGACGCCATACACTAAAATTAAAACTAAGAAATGGAAATGGAAAAAAAGATTATTCGAGAATGAAATCATGGGAGATGAAAGATTGGAATGGGTGTGGAATGGGTAAATCTCGATTCTCGCGGGATGAATGAGGTCAAGAGGAGATTTGGTAATGAAGATCTTATACTCGGGATGAATGAGGGGCAGTTATTATAGATGAATATTATAGATAGATTTACTGTAATATTATTTTATTATTCCATAATAGAGATCCTTTGAACATACGAGTATATTATTATATTAACCTTGCACGTGCCTTGCAACATAAATTCGGAATATCTAACATGCCGATAAGATAACAAGACAAGACAAGATACCTACTAGGTAATTACATAGTCCCCCTCGTCCCCATTTCCAATCCCGAATATTCTTCATCTTCAATCCCGAAAACTATCACTCAATCTCTAATAAATAAACGCCGAAAATAATCATCCAACTCATCTCCCTTCCCGAATTTTTCAAACCTCGGCGCGCTCAACCTCCCAATTAATACAAATCAATACAAACCAATACAACACAATACAATACCCACGACACTCAATTCACCCAGCCGAATCGGAATTCCACCTCACCTCAATCTCCAAAACTCCAATCTCCAACCCACCAACATCCAACCTTCAAAAACAAATCCTTTCTCCAACCCACCACCCACCCACACACCCCCCAAAATGTCAACCGAAATCCCCTTTACAGCAAACCACACTCAACAACCCTTCAAACTCCTCGAACTACCCCCGGAACTCCTCACCCTTCTAGAATCCGATGATCCTCCCACGTAAGCCAATCTCATCCGCCCCGCTCATTCCGGCCCCCTCCTCTCCCAACCACCAATCCCACACACGCTAACCCCATTCCCTCTCCACCCACAGCCTCCTCCTAACCTCCTCCCCCCAACCCCCACACCACGCACACCTCCTCGTATCTCCCTCTTCCTCTTCCTCTTCCGCCTGCACCTCCACCTCCACCAAAAAAACCTACCTCCTCCGCCAAAAAAATACTTCCAATCCGCTGATGCTTCTCTCTCCCTCCTCCACTCAACATTCTTCTTCCACCTCCTCCCAACCAAGCATCACGAGAATAGGAAGTATATCCGACACCATCGAACTCATCGAAAAAGAAGAAGAAGAAGAACCCACGGAA